ACTGTAGGTGCTTAATAAATGGTTGTGGAAGGTTGCAGGCTTTAAAAAAAAAAAAAAAGAATTTAGACTCAGTTACAATCTGAAATAGCAGAAACTCATGATAAGTTCCTCAGCTGGGTGGGCTAGAAATGGTTTATAGTTTCTCAACCACCAACTGATTGTCTGGATAAAATAAAATTTTGTCTTCTTTTGATCCTGCTTCCTTGGTGGTTACTCAATTAGTATGTGGAGATAGAGTTACATTTGTCTAACCTCAAAAAAAAAAAAAAAAAGACTCAAACCCACTGCCATCTGCCATTGGGTTTCAGAGTCGGTAAATCTTTACAGAAGTAGATTGCCTGGTCTTCTTTCCACGGAGTGGCTGGCAGGTTTGAATCGCCAGCCTTCTGTTAGCAGTCAAGTGCCTTAGACACTGCACCACCAGAACTCCTCTTTTAACCTCAAAAGTCATGGCCTTTTTTTGACTCCTCACCACTTTACAATCAAGATAGCTTCTATCTCCACAGCTAGAACTGTATCATTCAAGTGGAAAGGCACATAAACCAGCTAGTTAGTGTACTCTTTCCCTTGAAAAGGGTTGAAGAAATGACAATTCTTACTCTTTCCTTAGTCCCACCTCCCCTAATTTGCCCTTTTCAAACATATCACAGTTTAATCTGTTAACCAACGCCATTTTTCCTCACATTTTGCTTTGCAATTGAACTTGAAACTTTCCAACTTTCTCAGACACACACTACACTTTTCTACCCTTACCTTACTGCTACAGATTAGCATGAGGTTAACATGAGGTTAACATTAGCATAATCTCATGAGGTTAACTAATTAATCTCATCAATTATTCTGTTACTGGATTTTTAAATTTCATATTACTATTTTTCCTCTTATTACAAAAGTAGAACCTATTCAGTGTGTGTGTGAGTGAAACTTAAAATATTCATGAGAGGAATAGATTAAAACTTCATCACCTCAAATTAACCAGTGTATATTTTTGGTGTATGTATGGGTCCGACTCGACGGCACATGACAACAACAACAGCAACAACAACATCCTTTAAAAAAAACTTCTTTATTCGTGTGTGTGTGTGTGTGTTGGGATTAAGATTCAAATCCACATTCTTAACTACTACACTGTGCTACCTGCCTTAAATTTGATTAATTGATAGTGTTTTTCTGTTGAAACCTGCTTCTTAGTAACTTCCATAGGTATGTATGATTGGGAATGAGTGTAGCATGTGTGAGATGTTGTTTAGGGGAAGGGGCAGTGCGGGGTTGAACTCTAAAGAGGGTTACTGTTAAGGAAGAACATACTGCTTTCTAATGTTTTTTTTTTTTTTTTTTTTCACTAACTAATCTTTCTTTTGCAAACTTTTAATTGCTACTCAAATTTTATTTGTTTTATTAATGTGTATTTTTTAGAACAGTTTTAAGTTTACAGGAAAATTGAACACATTGTATAGAGAATTCCCGCATACTCCTGGCATATAGTTTTCCCTATTACTAACATCTTGCATTATTAGTGTGGTGCATTTGTTACAATGAACCAATATCGAGACTTTATTATCAACTAAGGTCTATATGTACTTGAGGAGCTCTGGCAACATAGTGCCTAAAGCACTTGACTGCTAACCAGAAGGCTGGTATTTCAAACCCACCAGCCACTCCTTGGAAGGAAGGTTGGGCAATCTACTTTCGTAGTGATACCACCTCGGAAACCTTAGGAGGGGTCACTGTGAGTCGGCTATGACTCAACAACACATAACAACAACAACAACAACAAATGTACTTGATTCAGATTTCCTTAGTTTTAACCTAATGCCCTTTTTTGGTTCCTAGATCCCATCCAGGATAACACATTACATTTAGTTGTCATGTCTCCTTAGGTTGCTCTTGGCTGTGACCCTTTCTCAGACTTTCCTTGCTTTTATTGACCTTAACAGTTTTGAGAGGTATTTGTCAGAATCCTCCTCTATTGGAATCTGTCTGATGTTTATTTTCATGATTAGATTAGGGTCACGGGTTTTTGGAAAGAGGATCACAGAAGTAATGTGCTGTTTTCCTCACATGATATCAAGGGGAGCATCATGGATTGAATTGTGTCCCCTAAAAATATGTGTCAACTTGGCAAGGCCATGTTATATGGTTGTCCTCCATTTCATAATCTGATATGTTGTTGTTGTTGTTATGTGCCATGGAGTCGGACCCGACTTATACCGACCCCTCCTTGGGTTTCCAAGGCAGTATCACTACGGAAGTAGATTGCCCCATCTTCCTTCTGAGGAGTGGCTGGTGCATTTGAACCACCAGCCTTCTGTTTAGCAGTCAAGTGCTTTAGGCACTATGCTACCAGAGCTCTTTTAATGTGATGTAATTACCCCCAATTTTGTGATGTGTTGTGAATCCTAACTTCTGTATGTTAATGAGGTAACTTGATTGTGGAGTGTATCTTGAGTCATAGCCTTACAAGAGGGTATAACTTGAGTTGCATCCTTACTCAAGTCCCACCCTTACCCAAGTCACCATCCTTACTCAAGTTATACCCTTGCTTAAGTTACACCTTTTATCTTAAAAGCGATAAAAGGAGAGAGAAGAGAGCAGAAAGGAGAGGAACCTCACAGCTATCAAGAAAGAAGAGCCAAGAGTGGAATGTATCCTTTGAGTCTGGGGTCCCTGTGCTAAGAACTTTCTAGACCCAGTGGAAGATTGTTGCCAAGACACACGGAGATCTCCAAGGAAACCTGGGCCCAGAGTTGTTGAAAGGAGACAAAGACCTTCCCGCCGGTGCCCTGAATTCAGACTTCTCCTTCTAAACTGTGAGAAAATTAATTTCTGTTTGTTAGAGTCATCCACTTGTGATATTTATGTCACAGCAGCACTAGAGAACTAAGACAGGTACATGGTACATACTATCTACCTGCCTTATGACTGGAAATTGACCTTGATCATTTGGCTAAAGTAGTGTTTGTCAGATTTCTTCACTGTAATGTTACTTCCCTCTTCCCCAGCCTTCCATACTGTACTCTTTGGAAGGAAGTCCCTATATGCTTACGCATATATGTGCTTGAGGGAGTTATGGTTTTCCTCATTTAGGTTGGAGTAGCTATCTAATTTATTTGGTATTCTGCGTGGGATATTTGTCTCTTCTCCTTCACTTATTAATTTATCCAATCATTAATATCAGTATGGACTCATGGAAATTTATTTATACTTTAGGTTATAATCCAGTACTACACCTACTCACTTAGGTTCCAAAGACCAGATCATTATATGAAAATCAGTGTTGTACAAAAATGGAAGATGACTACATCATTACATAACTGCCAAATTACATCATTACATAACTGCCAAACCACTGACAATCATGGCCCAGCCTAGTTGACACATAACCTTAACTATCACATCCAGTGTTACTCTGACCTTGCATGGAAGTGAGTTCAATTCCAGATCTGAAGGGTAACTAGAGCATGGTCTCAGGGGTTTCACCAGGCTCTATTAGACCAGTAAACCTGGTCTTTTTATGATTTTGAATTTTGTTCCACTGTTCTTCCACTTTATCCAGGATCTCCTGCACTGATCCCTTTCTGAGTGGTTGACAGTGGTAGCTGGGAACCATCTAGTTCTTCTGGTCTCATGGTCATATAGGCTGAGGTTTCCATGGTCTACCAGTCCCTTGGACTAATTGTTTCCATGTGTCTTTTCTTTATTGTTTTTTGCTCTGGGCACGGAGAGACCCACTGCTGCATCTAGATGGCCACTTGTAAACTTTTAAGACCCCAGTCACTACTCACCAAAGTAGAATGTAAAACAATGTTTTTGTGTAGTATGTTATGCCAGTTGAGCTTTATGTCCCTGCAACCATGGTCCCAAGCCTACAGGTCCAACTACTAACTCACTCAGGGTAGCTGGCTGTGGCAAAGAAGTTATCATAACTTTGCCCCTTGTAAGCTCTATTATGTATATGGACATTCTTATAGCACATACAAATACACATGTAGAAGTATCATTTACCAGCCTTATATGTAAAATCTTATATATAAAGTCATGGGAGACATAAGGGAACAATAAGTCCAAGGGACTAGTAGGCCATGTGATCCTCAGCCTATATGACCATGAGACCAGAAGAACTAGATGGTGCCTGGCTACCACTGTCAACCACTCAGAAAGGGATCAGTGCAGGAGATCCTGCATAGAGTGGGAGAATAATACGGAACAAAACTCAAAATCATTAAAAAAAAAGACCAGGGTTACTGGTCTGTTAGAGCCTGATGAGACCTCTGAGACTATGGTCCCTAGCTGCCCTTCAGGTCTGGAACTGAATTCACTCCTGTGGCTTCCAGCCAAACAAGAGATGGGCACCTAGGGTGAACATTTACATCAGGTAGATACATTCCTTAGAGCAATCCATCAATCATGGGAGAACAGAAGAGCAGTGTTTTCACAAGGAGATGGCTGGGGGACAGGAATGCATAGGAAGGAAAGACACAGAGAAAAGTACTACAGGGAGGAAATGGGAAGAGAGCTGTTATACTGTGGGGAATTGTAGTCAATGTCATGAAACAAAATGTGTATGAGCTGCTATATGGAAAATGAATTTGCTCTGTAAACTTTTACCCAAATAATAATAATAACCTTATATATGGTCACAGGTATATTCCCTTTTGCCTAGACATATCCCATCATTCAGCCTGTCTGTCCAACTATGTTGTGCATTAACGATGTACATCTGGCAGTAACTAATCACTCTGTCTATTGTGCCATCATTACACTGTATTGCAGTTATCCATCCTGTTGGGACTGTGTCTTATCCATGTCTATATTACCAGCAACTAGTACCCTGTGGCTTCTCAGTCAGAATTTGTTGAATGATACTGGCTTTCCAGGTCTCCAGGAGAGTAGAGTAGGTATCTTGTATTTCTTTGGCTTCCCCTCCATTCTACTGTACTTGTTTTTCTCTTTATTCGGTTTCTCTCACAGGATCTCTGGATACCTAGGCCCCCTCCACCATGGCCAGCCGGGGTGGGGGCCGGGGTCGTGGCCGGGGCCAGTTGACTTTCAACATGGAGGCTGTGGGCATTGGGAAGGGGGATGCTTTGCCTCCACCTACCCTGAAGCCTTCTCCACTCTTCCCTGTGAGTATCTCCCCTCCCTTCCCAAGACTTCCGTGTGCCCCTGGCTGACTGTACATGATCCTGGATTCTTCCTGGAACATCATTAAACTATCTTCATCTTGCCCCTCCCAGTCTCTGCCTCCCAAATCACTTGGGATGTTTTTCAGACAAGGAAGTGCCCACCCTTACTTGTCACATTCCCAGCTCCCCAGCTTTCAGAATCCTCTGTCCCTCTGTTCATTCTCTTTTGGCCCTGTGCTCAGTGGTGAACTGACCACTGCCCCCTGCCTCCTTAGCCCTTGGAGTTCCGCCCAGTGCCTCTGCCCTCTGGAGAGGAAGGGGAATACGTCCTGGCACTGAAGCAGGAGCTACGAGGGGCCATGAGGCAGCTCCCCTACTTCATCCGGCCAGCTGTCCCCAAGAGAGGTCAGTTGGAATGGTAGCATCATGTTGAGTGCCTCCCATGGGCAGTGTGCTGTACTCAGCACCACTGGAAGCCAGAGAAGCCAAAAACAGTATAGGAAGCTCACTGTCTAACAGGGGAGATCGGCCTAATTACTCTTACATTTGAAATGCAATATAGCATTCATAGTTTGTGTTGAGTCTCACAATAGTCTTGGAAGAGTGGGAAGTATTATGCTGATTTCACAAGTATAAATGAGAAGATGGATGAAAAATTTTAACAACTTGTGTATTATGGGTACCACACAATCAGGAGGGTGCTGGCGCTGACAAAGTAGTAACCCTTTAGTTAGTGGGTTGTCAGGAGGCACTGAAGAATGGGGAGCACTTGAGAAGTTCTGGACAGTGGTTCTTTACTAACTGATGTAGAGTTCAGTATTTTGACCACCATGGTTCCCCACTGAAGCCCATTGTCTTCTCACGGAAGGTGAGGCTTGGAAAGATGAAAGCAGTAAATGGAAGACTGAAACACTAGGGTCTTGCTCTTTGGTATACTTTCCATCACACCATATTACCACTCAAGACAGCCACACCTTTGGGCTAAGGGAGGAAAAGAAAAAAACTATCGTGATTTTGGGTGGGAGCAGTAGTGGTTCAGTGGTAGAATTCTTGCCCTCCATGTGAGACGCCTGGGTTCAATTCCCTAACAATGCATCAGGCTCAGCCACCACCCGACTTGTATGTGGAGTCTTTGTGTTGCTGCGATGGTGAGCAGGTTTCAGCCCAGCTTCCAGACTAAGGAGAAAATCAGCAATGAACACCCTATGGATCACAATGGCATGAGTTGAGGGCAACATGACTTAACAGCAAACAACAACAGTGTACTTTCCACTGTAACATACTGCCTCTCAAGATAGCCTTAGGTTAAGGAAGGGGAGGGGAGATTGTAATTTTGAGTGGCAATGGGGGTGGTTACAATTGTGTTGAAGATTTATACTGAAACTTGCCCCCTGGGCTCTGGGTTTGGTAAGTGAGGGAACAGACAATTCCTGAGTATTGAGAGGGCTGGGCCTTTAAAAACAACACTGTTGTGAGGCTCTGAAGGGATAAAACTTTGACTCTTAACCTCTCACCCTTCAGATGTGGAGCGTTACTCAGATAAATATCAGATGTCAGGGCCGATTGACAATGCCATCGATTGGAACCCTGGTAGGTAGATTGGAACCCTGGTAGGTAACGGACCCTTTCATTGAAGGCTCTTCTTTCAAATGCTTAAGAAGGCTCAACCCACAAGCCACTCCCTTCTCACAACCCCCTCCCTCACCTGTTGTTATTAGCCATGAGTCATAGGGACATAGGATCCTTGGGTTTCCAAGGCAATATCACTACAGAAGTAGATTGCCTCATCTTCCTTCCGAGGAGCGGCTGGTGGGTTTGAACCGCCAGCCTTCTGGTTAGCAGTCAAGTGCCTTAGTGTTTGTGAACTGGAGCTCCTAGTTGTGCTCTGGGAGCTCTGGTAGCATAGTGGCTAAGGCACTTGACTGCTAACCAGAAGGCTGGTGGTTCAAACCCACCAGCCGCTCCTCGGAAGGAAGGTTGGGCAATACTACTTCCGTAGTGATACTGCCTCTGCTCGGAAACCCAAGGAGGGGTCGCTATGAGTCAGGTCCGACTGGACGGCACGTAACAACAACAACAGTTGTGCTCTAAAACATTCCTGGACTCTACCTGAAAAACCTCTTAAATAGCCTCTACTTCCCTGGAGACATATAAACCAGTTTTGTTCAGAGTGCCTTTGGCCCAACCTCTTTGTTCCCCCACCCTTACCCTCACCTTTCCTTCCTTTAAAAGCAGTCCTCATTCATAGGAGACTCCAGGTAGGGTACCACTGACATCTGCATTTCCCCTATTCCCAGACTGGCGACGTCTACCCCGGGAGCTGAAGATCCGGGTGCGGAAGCTGCAGAAGGAGCGTGAGTGTGTCTGGAGAAAGGGGGAGAGGAGAGGTTTCCTTCGTCACCTGGAGAGCTGAAGCTGCTAGTGGTGTTGATTGCTTTCCGAGCTCTGGTAGCATAGTGGCTAAGGCACTTGACTGCTAACCAGAAGGCTGGTGGTTCAAACCCACCAGCCACTCCTCAGAAGGAAGATGGGGCAATCTACTTCCATAGTGATACTGCCTCGGAAACCCAAGGAGGGGTCACTATGAGTCAGGTGTGACTCGACGGTACATAACACCACCACCACCGTCTAAATGTCATGGTTGATGTCTTATTGTCCACATGAGGGCAGCAGAGTGACGTAGTCACGACAAGAGGATGGGGTAGAAGGCTAGCAAGATTTACCCTCTGATGACTCACCTGTTCATTCCCCTCCCCACAGGGACTACTATCCTACTTCCCAAGAAGCCCCCTAAGACCCCAGAAGATAAGGAGGAAACAATACAGAAACTAGAGGTGAGGAAGAGTTGTACATACAGACCACCTGGGCTCTAGATCCATTCCCTGTTTCTTGGCCTATGTGTGCCTCAGTTTTTCCCTCTGGAAGCTTAAGTCTGGGTATCTCTTCCAACTCATCTTCACATAAGACCCTGGAGAAGAAAGAGGAAGAAGTTACTTCAGAGGAAGATGAGGAGAAAGAAGAAGAAGAAGAGAAGGAAGAGGAAGAAGAAGGGGAGTATGATGAAGAAGAACATGAAGAGGTAAAGGGGACCTCCTCCCATCTTTGACTCCACTCCTTTTCCCTCATAATCTCAGGGGATCTCAACTCCTTTTCCGTTAGGGCTCCCTCTTTTTTTTTTTTTTATTAGGATTTGGGTGAAGATTTACAGAGTAAATTCACTTTTCATACAGCAGTTCACATATACTTTGTCTCATGTCATTGACCAAAATTTACAATGCAGCAGCTCCCCTCCCACCTCCTCCCCATAGCTACCTCCTCCCAGTGTCCATCCCTTCATACTCTTCTGCACCCTGAGCTATCTCCCTGTGCATAAGCAGCCCTTCCTTCTCCCATGATTGTTCTCTCCAGGGCGTGTGTCTACTTGAGGTAAATGTTTAACTCACATGCCTGTACTTTGTTTGGCTGGAAACCACAGTTGTGGGTTCAATTCCAGACCTGAAGGGCAGCTAGGGGCCATAGTCTCAGTGGTTACACCAGGCTCTATTGGACCAGCAAACCTGGTCCCCACCTTCTTCTTCTTTTTTTTTTTTTGTAGGGCTCCCTCTTCAGAGGGTTGGAGGCCAAAGGAGATAGTGCCTCCAAAGTGTAGAAGCTTCCCTCTACTTCCTGTTCTCAGGCTCCTCTTAATAATGAGCTTCTTCAGCAGAAGGGAAAGACTCTGGCCTAGAATAGTGTAACGGGAAGGAAGAAAGGGGCTTAATACATATGGAGGAAGGAGAATGCCGGAAGTATGCCTGATTTTTACCTCTTTTTACCCATTTTAGGAAACTGACTATATCATGTCATATTTTGACAATGGAGAAGACTTTGGGGGTGACAGTGATGATAACATGGATGAAGCTATATACTGAAGAAGGACCCTGAACAACATCCTAAATCCGACATCCCAAATCCTCATATCTTTCTGGATTTGAGATGCAGAGATTAACCATCCCTAATAATTGTTTTTGTGGTTAAGTCATTCTCCTGACTCTTCTCAGAGACCATATAACCAGTTTGGTCTCTGGAGGTGGGAGTGGAGATGGCAACAGGTAGCTCTTTTCTGCCCTTATACTCCCTCCTCCTTATATCACCTCTGATATCTTGTGGAAAGGGCAAAGGACCAATGTCCTAATTATATAAAAGGGAGAAAAGAGAATTGAAAGAAGACAGACCTGGGGTTGTTAGAGTTGAGACAGCTGTATATATACCCCTACCCATTTTTACAGCTCTTTGTGGAGCTAATTGGGGATGGGAGCACTTAGAAACAGGCCAGTTTTATATTTTTAAATAAAATTTAATATTTTTAAATTTGTCTTTCTGTCCATGAAGAGAGCCTATGGGAGAGAGCTGGAGGAATGAAAGAGATGCCTTGCCAAGACATTCTTCTCTTACCTGTCAGTCCAGTGAGACACACTGAGGGTTACAGCCTTCCTGTCTTTTGCCCCTTCTTTTCACCCCCATGGTGGGACACATACTCCCAGTCTAGCCCTGCCAGGGCACGTGCAGGAACTCATCTGCAAAGCTGCATAGAGTGAGCAGTAGGGGAGAACAAGCCCTGTGTGAAGGCAGCAGACCAGCTGGCTTATGAGCCCCTGGTCCTCAGGCCAGCTAGCTCTGTTCACATGTGTTCATGGGGACACAGGCCTTCTCTTTCCCACACTTGACCTTGATCTTGTCCTTGTTTACAAGGAGTAATTACAGCTGTTTCTGTGGCGAGAGTCAAGAAAGTCAGGTGCAGGGAGAAACTAGGGAGTAGGTACTGACTCTTCAACACACTCACTTTTATTCCAGGCCCTGGAGACCCGATTTTGAAAGGTATGTTAGTACACAGGAAACTCCCTAAATGCTTTATTTTCCACTTGCAGAAGAGGGTGTATGGCTGAGTTGCAGTTTCTCTTTTGAGTCTTCCCTTTGTGGTACTTAGTTAGCTTTTCTATTCCCATCTCAGCCTTCTCTGGTTAGAGGGGGAAGGGTAGGCATTGTGCTTTACAGGAAGTAAGGAGGGTGAGGAGGAGGGGAGTGACTTAGGACACTCAGAGCTCTGAGAGATGCTTTCTCGCCCACACAGCTCTCCCTTGGGTGAGGTCACTTCCTTAGCCCCTGATTGGCTTCTGAGGAAGCCCCAGATGCGCTGATTGGTTCCAGCCACTTGACATGCAACAGTCACGGGCAATCCACGTGTCCAGAATACAGACTGAATAAGGAAGCAGGCACAGATATCTGGGGTGCTATCATGGCAACCCTCCTAAGATTTTGAAAGCCATAACATGGGTTGCAGACAGAGAACCTTCAAGAAATTTCCCAACAGCAGACTGAATTTCCTATAGCAGCAAGTGATAGAGACTGGCAATCTAAGCTTAGATATTTCTGACTCCATTGTAAGGAATGAAGAGAGGCTGTAACTCCATTGACAGAAAGTACTTTAAAAGCCTGGTTAGGGTGTGGTAGTATTAAGATAGAAGCAGCCAAAAGAACAGAGAAGGAACAGGAATAGAAAAGAACATTCCAGAGTTATTGTGCAATTTGTGATGATTGATGTTTCCTTTTCTATTTCTCTGCGGTGGTGTGTGAGTAAAGTAGGGGAAAGGACCAGGGTACATATCACTGGGGTTCCCCATAGTCATACTTCAGCCTGTGATTGTTGTCGGGAGAAATCAGCAAAAAACAGAAGTAAAAGACATTGAAAACCCTCCTTTTGCTCTTCTCCCCTACCCCTACCAACACACACACACACACACACACAATTCTAACTCTCTCAACTATATATCTGTGCCTATTTGAGGGCACAGCTACCCCCTAAATCCTGCCTAAAGCAGACATAGAAACTTAAAAGGATAAAAACAAAGATCCTAGACAAGAGACAGTAGAGGGGGTTAGGGCCACATCCTTGTCCTCTCCCTCTATATACACACATCCATTTCTCATGAAATTGGAGGAAGGCAAAGGTTGGAATGACCAATTGAGATCAGCTATCCTGCCTCAAAGACAAAGTGTCAGAAAGATCAGACTATTCTTAGACACTGCCTTGTCTGGCTTCCTGCCCCTTCTGGCAGGTGATCTTACTGAACAAAACCAGAGAGAGACACGGGACCTAACAGCTTCCCCAAATTCCAGAGCCTTTCCGGGCATGTGCTAGAGTGTTTCCATTGACCTCTCCCCTACTTTCCATAGATAGTACTGGGCAGGCTGAGTCCTAAGACTTGGTAAACAAGGTGAGGCTCCTGTTCCCTCTGGAGGACCACCTGAAAGGTGAGGAGCTGAGGCTCTGCTTGCAAATATTTACAGAAGACCCACTTGGTGCTTGTTCAGCCCCATACTTCATGCCTGCTAGGGCCTGCTTACACTGAACAGTTTGCTTCCACATCCACACCCCGGGCTACACTGGCCCCAGGCAGGGTAAGTCCTCTGGCAAGAATCCTATCCTTCCCTACTCTTACTTTTTATCTCTAGATTACTGATCCTCTCCCACCTTGGGCAGGAAGCCTGGGAGGAGTGTGGTCTGAACCTAGGTGCAGAGGCTGAAGCAGTTTGAGGGAAGGTTAAATGGGAGAGTGGCGTGTAAGATGCAGTTTAAAAGACTGAGGGTGGAGAACAAAAAAATTGGAGGGTCAGAGGTCAGGGGATAGGGTGATAGGCAGCCATGGTTTGGTGAGGAAATGACTGTTCTAATTTATGCCTCAATTCACTTTAATTGCCATCTGAACTTTGAAAGGAAGGAAGGGTGGGGTTGTAGGTGTCAGCTGGTTAAGAACTAATCCTAGGAGAAGGGCTGCTACTTCAATTGGACTATCCAGTGCAGAGGGCAAAACACTGTTTATTGTCCTGGTTTCACCACTCCATAGCTTTGTGTCCTTGGGAGTGCCGTATCAAGGCTACAAGCCTCAGTTTCCTCATGTGTAAAACGAATTTACATTAGATGCTCACTAGGAATTCTTCTAGCTCTTACACAATAGGGGTGATGTTGAGCCACTTGATAGTCCAATTGCTCTGAGAACAAAGGTCAGGACATGTCCAGTTTTTGCTGAAGTCATTTCATCTGTTGGTTCCCACCTTATTTTCAGCCTGGGCAGGCTAAAGATAACCTCACACATCTAGCCAGTCATTTCCAAAAAACTGCTTAAGCCCAAGTAGCAGGAGGATCAGCAATTCCATCAGCTAGTAAGCAGGGAGACAACCCATTCAACAGACTTCACAATCACAAATCACAAGCCAGGACTCAAATCAGGCCACCAAGAGATTTCTGACAAGGAAGAGGTAGATGGGGCAGGCCCTTTCCATCTCCCCTCATACATCATGTCTGGCCAGATGACAGAGAACAGAAATGAACTAGACAGGAATAGTGCAGATACCTAATCTGACCAGACCAGTGGTAATCCATTCTCCACTGTCCTTCCCCCTACTGAGACCTACTTTTTCTCAAGGTCATTCTGGGACTAGAAACCTAGAATAAGGAGTTGTTTTCCCAGTAAAAGCTCTGGTGCTGTAGTGCCTAAGGCATTTGACTGCTAACCAGAAGGATGGTGGTTCAAACCCACCAGCCACTCCTTGGAAGGAAGGTTGGGCAATCTACTTCTGTAGAGATATTGCCTCAGAATCCCAAGGAGGGGTTGCTATGAGTAGGTTTTCCTATTATCACCCTGAAGGCTTTTGCCTTATTCTCAACAAGACTTAATTTGTCTCTTATTATCCTAGGGGCCACAGTGGCTGAAATATTTGGCTGCTAAGAGGTCAGCAGTTAGAACCCACCATCCACTCCCCAGGAGAAAGATGAGGCAGCCTGTTTCTGTAAAGATTTACAGCCTTGGAAACCTTATGGGGAAGTCCTACTCTGTCCTAAAGGGCTGCTATGAGTCAACATCTACTTGAGGACAGTGGGTTTGGTTTGGATTTTTTTATCCTGGAGGGCAGGGAGTTTCCCCCAACACACTCCAATGGGAGTCAGTAGGAGGAAACTGATGTAACCCTAAGCATAGGACCTGAAGTGCTATCACCTTGGGAACCCAAGACTCAGGCGGTAATCCAAGAGTTCCTCGGACCCAGTCCTGACCAGTGCAGGGAGAGGCTATGTCCCCATGAATGTTGAGCCTGGGACTATTCCTCGTTCTCAAGCCTCCTATCCTCCCAGGATCCTCAGCTGGACTCCCCAAAGCTTGGACTCTATCCCTTCCAAATCTTCCCTGTGATTCCATTTTTCTTTGTGTAGTGTGGAGAAAATACCTAAAAACCAAAGCTACTACCATTGAGTCAATTCCAACTCATAGCGACCCTCTAGGACAGAGTAGAACTGCCCCCATAGGGCTTACCATTCAAGAGTAAGTTTCAGAGTCTCCTCTGACATCCATTTTGGTTTTTTCTTCCTTTTTAATGACATTTTGCTTTCTTAATAAATGATGTTCTTGATGGCATCCCACAATTCATCTCATTTTTGGTCACTGGTATTCAATGGGGACCTCTGGTGGTGTAGTGTCTAAGGCATTTGACTGCTAACCAGAAGGCTGGTGGTTCAAACCCATCAGCCACTCCTCGGAAGGAAGATTGGGCAATCTCAGAAACCCAAGGAGGGGTCACTGTGAGTCAGGATTGACTCAACAGCAGTGAGTTTGGTTTGGTGGTTTTGAGTGCTTTAACCATTGTGGCACCAGAGCTCCTATGTGTAATGTGGAAACAAACAGAAAAACCGAACTCATTGGGTCAAGTTGATTCCAACTCCCTAGGTTTCCAAGGCAGTTCCCTAGTCTTCCTTCTGAGGAGTGGCTAGTTGAGTTTGAACCACCAGCCTTCTGGTTGGCACTCAAATGCATTAGGCATTATGCCACCAGAGCTCCTTGTAATGTGGAGGGAGGACAAAAATATCTGAATCTTGTCTTTA